AATCAGGCTCTCGAAGAGGTATTAGCATTCATTCCCGTGTTCTTTGCAGCATTCATCACAGTCGGCTAACAACCTAAATGTCCATTGACTGGTAAATGGATAAATAAAATGTATCTCTTCTGAATGGACATTCTTCCAAAGAAGACATGCAAATGGCCAACAGGTATGTGAAAAGGTGCTCGACGTCCTCGGGGAAATACAAATCAAAGCCACGATGAGACACCACCTCACACCTGTTAGAATGCCCACTATCAAAGAGAACAGAAATAACTATTGTTAGCAAGGATGTGGAGGAAAGGGAACGCTTGCACACTCTGGTGGGAATATAAATTGGTGCAGCCACTGTGGGAAACAGCTTGGTGGTTCCTCAGAACATTAAAAATCACACTGCTCTATGAATCCAGCAATATCCCTTCTGAGTATTTATCCAAAAGAAATGAAATCAATATCTTGAAAAGACACCTCTGCCCCCATGCTCACTGCAGCATTGTTTACCATAGCCAAGATGTGGAAGCAACCAAAGAGTCCACCGGTGGACAAATGGATAAAGAAAATATTATTCAGCCTTGAAAAAGAAGGAGATCCTGCCATTTGTGACAACGTGGATGCAGCCTGAGGGCATTATACTAAGTGTAATAAGTCAGATAAAGACACACACTGTGTGAGCTCAGATGTACCACGGAAAGGAAAAATATGGCTTATACTGTTCTTAGGAGAACTTAACATATAACATTTGTGAAGGGACTGCTAATGGCAGCAATCGCTAGTCTTGGTCTTATCTGTTTTAGAACATCTCTAAGTCAGAACATTACTTTGAAGCTGACTTTGGGGGGCAGGAGGAGCGGGCCACCGCAGCCGTGCTCCTCTGTCCCTCAGCAGCCAGCCAGCCTCTCCTGCGCTGCAAAGGCAGAATCGTTCTCTTCTGTGGGCTCTTAATTGTATGTAAGTGTGTGCCTAGCCCTTTCTGAACACTCAATTCAAGTTTATTATTATTACGTAGTTTCTATTACTCTGCATTCTCTTTGCGCTGGCATAGGCTATTGTTTGTGATATTGAGTGAGGAGTTAATCTGATAAATAATTGTTCTATGGGAGAGGGGCTCCATACTGGGTTGCAATGATCTGTTTCTCTGGCTCTGATCCCCAGTGGACAATTATCAAGGGTGTTGGTTATGATTTGGTCATTCATTTATCTCCAGAGTCTTGTAAGTGCTTGGCTCATAGTAGGTGCTTAATAAATGAGCATTACACGAAAGAAGAAATAACTGAATGAATGAAAGACAAAAGAATCCTAACATAGGCATTACCCTTTGGGATAATCTTCAAGTCTGAGTTCCTCTTTCATTTAATAATGATCATTGTGACGTCATTGTTACCAGATACTCTAAGGCTTTATTAAACATTTGTACCCACTAAAGTTAGATGCTGCCTCTACTGGGTGAAAATCAGTTACCCAACTGATTGGGGGTGGGTGACCTCACATAACTGCTATCATGATATAGCAACAATTGAAAAAAAAAAACGCTGTGCCACCCTCCCTCCTTCAAGCATTGAGTGGGGACTGTAGACCTATCTCATCTGATTAAGGAGGCCCTTTCCCAGAGAGAGACTGGGAGGCTCAGAACGTCCGTGCCTCTCCTTCATGGGGTGTCACGTGAGCACAGCAGATCGCAGACTCAGAGGAGCACTGGGGTGGAATCCCCCTGCTGAGACGGGATAATACGATTCACTGTGGGGGTCCCAGCCGTTCCTGTCGGTGGACCATTTCAGATGAACTCCCACAGTAACGTGGTTTAAAGAGTTCCGGGCTCCGGGCCCTGTTTAGGACTCTCTCACTTCTCTTGCAGTCGGGAGGACTCTGCTCTGAAACACACTTAGACTGCCCACCGTGAAAATAGGAGAAGACTCCAAGTGATGCTAACAGTCAGACAGAAGAAGGAAAAGAAAACTCACATAAAAGGAAAACAGCAAATCAGCTACATGTCAGTAAAAATAAAAGATCTCTATCAAAAGGGAAAACAGCAGTGTACTATTTCACGAAGCGAGAGTGTTATGGAGCCACAGAGTATTCCTATTCCTTTCCAAACGTGGGGGTGGGGGGAGGGGGAGGGAGATGGAAGGGGGTGTCCCTGAGGCCCCGCCAGTGCTGCAGATGGGGTCATGGTGCTCTGCTGTGCTCTGACTGTGTGCTTTGTTAAACTCCTCCTCTCCCGCCAGGCAGCGTGGCTCTGGAAGGATCTCTCCAGGCACGGAGTCCATAGCGTTCTGCCCATGCTGTAGTTTCATCACAGAAACCACAGGCAAGTGAGACTCTGGGTGACATGCCTGGTTTTCTGTGGTGGTTTGAGCTTCTCTTAGCCCTCCCTGGGACTGGTTGTTTGGTGACGGCCACAGATGTTTGCAGAGTGGACATGGTACTTGACTATGACTCTGGGAAGCAGCTGGGGGAGGAGTGGGAGTGGATAAGAAAGAGGGCCTACCAGCTGCTACTCAAAGCATCTATAAAAGTCTCACCCAGTTAGCCTTTCCCCAGCTCCCCCTTTCAATTCTGGAGCAAGCAGATTGGGATCAACTATTCTGACCCCTTATTTAGAAATAGTTTACATTGCAGTTGTCTCCTTGCTGATATCGTAATACTGTTCCCTTAATGTCTATTTTAAACTCATTTCTCCTGTATTAACGTCTGTGTGTGCGTGTGTGTGTGTGTTTATATGAGTAATTATGAAGTTGGAACAAAAAGTTGCGAAGGCCTTAGAAACTTTAGCCTCTCCTGCTATAAGTCTCAAGGCCTTTTTTCCTCCCTGATGGGAAGCTCCCTGAGAGGACTAAAGGACTCCTTCTCCATCCCACACACTCTTTCTCTCTCTTTGTCAGTTTTTATTTGATGCTAAAGAAATGGGAAGGAAGGAAAAGTAGGAAGGGAAGACCGTTTGTTCCCACTTAACCATGCTTTTCTGTGGGGCTGAGGTGTTCGGCCCAGTGGGACCGTCTTTACTCCAGCGTGCAGGTTCCCCTCTGCCTTGCCATTACCTGGCCGACATCCAGACAAGTGGGGAGACATAAAGCTAAATGGTATCTTACTGCTGATCATTCCCAGTGTAGACACATTGAGTAGCTACCCCCGCAGATCTGGACCGGACCCAAGGAAGCTTGGTCTGATTGATCTGCGGTCCCCTTACCCTCTGTGTCCCACTTTCTCCTGTCTCCTCCTCCCCATTTCTCAACCAAGATAACCTTGAGCAAATCCAGTCGCTGGGCCGATCAGGACTGGGTTCCAGTCCCACGAGCACTGCATGACAGGACTGAGACGTACTATTTGCCATGAATAGCTCATGTCATTCCCTAGGCAAATGGATTATTCCAAAAATATCAGTTTATGGACTGACTAAATCCGAATGACCTTGGAAACTTGGTACACTACAGATTCCTAAGGTATTTTGCCCAAGATTTTGCCCCAGGACGTTTGATAGGCAGCCATGTTTGCTAGGTTAGGGAACTCCCTTCCTAGACGGTTGCCTCAAATCAGAAGTCACTTTGGTCAGAGCCCCTGCGCTCATCTGATGCCGTCATTTTCACCTGGTCCAGCCAACTCTGATGCTGTCTGGCTGATTTTCAAGTGCAGGAATTATGCCACTTTGTCATATCTGAATGGAAGGAAACCGGGGACCCCAGTAGCAGTTTATTGAG